CCACTGCGTTACACCGTCTCTCGGACCCCAGCCAGGGAGTCGTGAAGGACCAACAGAAGCTAGCCCTTTGCAGCTTTCTTTCATACCTCGACACCATGTCATACACTGACCACCTCTCCACTTTTTCCAACCAGTCCCAGGGTCGACAAATAATGCACGACGTGGAATTCTCTGGGACGACATTCGTAGAACATGTCCAAGCCACTGAAGTCGGTGTTTCAAGATGGTGACACCAATTTTATTATCGTCTCTGTGACCGAACACACGATGCCGGACCTCTGCATTACTGACAGCAATCCTTCGGAGACAACGATGATCGAACACAGAGAGTCGTCTAACATCCTCAACTCGGAGAGGCCAGGTTTCACAAGCATAGAGCAAAACTGCTCTCACCGTCGCGTTGTAGATCCGACCTTTTACAGCCAGACTATCATCACGAAGGCGCCAAAGATGGCCCAGATTGGCATAAGCCGCTCTGGCTTTCACTATACGTGCATTGATCTCATCACTCACACCACCACCAGCACTTATGCAGCTACCTAGATACACGAACTTCGCGACCACTTCTATCTGCTCACCATCCAGAGTGAGTACAGGATTAGAATCCTGCCAGTCTTGTAGAAGAACTTTGCACTTCGAAGGTGCGAAGCACATACCACACCTACGGACATTGATTGCCAACTGATTAAGTGCGGATTGCATGGCTTGGGCATTCTCGCACAGTAAGACAATATCATCCACATACTCAAGGTCGAGAAGTCTTTCTCCAGGCAACAGGTCGACACCACCATTACTTACATCCATCAGAGCTGTTTCCAGAATGTAATTGATGGCAAAGTTGAAGAGGAATGGTGAGATTGTGCAACCCTGCCTAACTCCACTGCTTGAATGGAATAGTGGAGAAAGGTGGTTGTATGCCCTCACTCTGCCTGAGGTGTTTGTGTATAGGGCTTCTAGGATGTTGATAAACTTCTCAGACACACGCTTCTTCAATAGACAATCCCAGAGAACAGTTCTGTCCAACGAATCGAAGGCAGCCCTGATATCAAGAAACACTACGATTGTTGACCTTTGATAAGTATGATGGTGTTCTAACATTTGGTGGGGTGTGAAGATATAATCAATACATCCTCGACCAGAACGAAACCCAGCCTACTCCTCGCGAGTCAATCCTTCTCGGGTTCTGAACAACCTACGAAGTATGACGGAAGCCAATAGCTTGGACGCAATCGGAAGTAGACTTGTTCCCCGATAGTTGTTACAGGAACGACGTGAAACCTTTTTAAAGATAAGGACAACTATCGACTCATTCCATGACGTTGGTAGACTCTCTAGTTCCCAGACCTTTGTAAACAACGTCATCAGTCCCTTAGTCAGAAAGTCACCACCATCTTTAAAAAGAGCCGGAGGTAAGTCGTCTGGGCCCGGTGATTTATGGCGTTTCAAGAGTTGGAGTTCCTTGCGGACTTCCGCCTCATTTGGTAGATCATTCGTCACCGGCCATGGAGGGCAGGACAGTCTGACCGATGTTGCCGGAGAAGCAGGCCAGTTGAACTTCCCTTCAAAGAATTCTGCCCATCGTCCAAGACGTCGATGGATGTTAGTGATTGGCGTTCCGTCATTCTCGCAGATTGTTTCGCTCACACCAGACTTCTTGCTGCCAGTGGCTCGGATGAGTTGGAAGAGCTTCCGGTAATCACCAGATGCAGCTGCTGCTTCCAGCTCGGTAGCACGCTCCGACCACCAGGCTTCTCGGTCCTTACGCTAGCTTTGCCCGATTTCATTACGTAACATCCTTCGTCTGTGGTCAAACTCACGGTCACCCGGAGTAGACCGACGGGCTTCAATCAGTTGTAAGGAACCAGAAGAAACCCAGTGCTTGTAAGCGCACGTTTCGCGAAGATAGTTACCGCTGTACAACTTTAATTAATGAAAATAATAAATAAACCGTTCGCTAAATTGCTTTCATTCCACCTAATGACACAATGAACTTCTTATCATTGTTTTTAAAATATTCAGTATTGCTTGACTTCCCTTGTGATGAATTGTTGGAATTCTGATGGAAAGTCATGATCAAGGGAGTTCTGGTATATCTGAAGTCAAACGCTCGTCATCAATGTCAGTTGATGATCGTTACGGCATATCGCTTATTAATTATAGTCAAGAATGTATAGAGTTGGATGCCAAATTAATTTTCCTGAGATTTAAAATTTCGTCATAAGATCTAAAGCTGCTAAATGTGCACTGCTAATAAATCATGTCCTTGAACAAAAAACCTGTCCAATGCTCTCTAGTTTTTATCAATGGTCCAATTGAAGTCAGTCCTCAACGTATAAACTTATGAATTAATCTAATCTTGCCAAAATCTCTATGAAAAATAGAAACTACTTGCAGAAAGCAAGCATTCTAATTTTAAGGATATTTTTGAACATACTTGACATATGACTGCTTTTGTTCACGTATTCAATGCGCAATATTCACTCTTTTTCAAAAAGAAGATGAAACGATTTATTTTAAATCATATTAAATTTTTAGAAATCCTTACGTAACTGTTATCACAAGTTTGGCACTGGAGCATACAAATATTTTAGGCAATACCATTGCTGAAATAGCTTGGGCTAAAGCTGGGATTTTTAAGGTAGTCTTCACCATTATGTTTTTGGTGTACTGTGTAGTGTTGTTAAGGAAATGTTATTTCTTTTTTAACATAAAAATTTGAACTTATGTAGGAAGATGAATAGATACTTAAGCGTCTGCTCAATAACAGAGTTAGAAAACGTGGTTTTGCAAATTCCTGAATGACGTCGTTTCTGATGGTATCGCTGAAGTATTTTTACGTGGTTATTCTAGTAAATGTGAAAAGACTTAAACACTATAAAATTTTGGTAAAGACATGTATCCATCTTAGCCGTTACTTTTCACATTATCAGTAAGTCAGTAAAGCTCAACATGTAACCTGGCATGTATATATGGATCGGTCCAAGTTCCCACATCGCATTAGCACAACGAACTGAAATTGTTAATACGATTCTACCATTAGCTTGAATAGTCTATCGATACTCTATAGACAGATTGGGATCATATTGCAAGATTCGCGACTACAAATAGAGAACCCAGAGTATAGATCCAAAAAGAGATATATTTAATACAAACACTAGTAGTCCACTCAAACAGGGAATCCAAAGGAATTCATATATTAAACAGTTAGTAAGTTGAGTTGAATACAGTGGACAGCTAGGATGCAATTGGATGATCTAGACTTCGCAGATGATCTGGCTCTTCTATCGCACACACAACAACAAATGCAGGAGAAGACAACCAGTGTAGCTGCAGCCTCAGCAGCAATAGGTCTCAATATACACCAAGGGAAAAGCAAGATTCTTCGATTCAACGCAGCATGTAACAATCCAATCACAATTGACGGAGAAGCTTTGGAGATGTAAAAACCTTTACAAACCTGGTCAGCATCATTAATGAACACGGTGGATCTGATGCAGATGTGAAGGCACGGATTGGCAAAGCAAGAGCAGCATATTTACAACTGAAGAATATCTGGAACTCAAAACAACTATCTGTCAACCAACACCAAAGTCAGAATTTTCAATACAAATGTCAAGACAGTTCTACTGTATGGCTCGGAAACCTGGAGAACTACGAAATCCATCGTCCAAAAGATACAGGTGTTTATTAACAGTTGTCTACGCAAAATACTTCGGATCCGCTGGCCGGACACTATTAGCAACAACCTACTGTGGGAGAGAACAAATCAGATCCCAATGGAGGAAGAAATCAGGAAGAAGCGCTGGAAGTGGATAGGACACACATTGAGGAAAGCACCGAACTGCGTCACAAGACAAGCCCTCACATGGAATCCTCAAGGTCGAAGGAGGAGAGGAAGACCAAAGAATACATTACGCCGAGAAATGGAGATAGATATGAGAAAAATGGACAAGAATTGGATGGAACTAGAAAAGGCCCAGGACAGAGTGGGTTGGAGAATGCTGGTCGGCGGCCTATGCTCCATTGGGAGTAACAGGCGTAAGTAAGTAAGTAAGTAAGTTGAGTACCTATCTACCTGCGTTTGGTGACCAATCACATTGTACTTCCACTAGCCACACATCACATTGTTTTGTAGGCCTCATGGATGGTATTAATTCTCGCTATTAAGTTTCAATCTGTAATTTGAGTTGTGTGATGTGAATAAGAAATTCGCAAGAACAATCAATAATATGGGCTCAATAGATTTCAAACAATCAGGTTACGTATTCACTTGTCTGGTTATTTATTTGAGAAATAAACTTTAAACTAGACAGAATTCTAAGAATAGCAAGGATGCCAAAAATATTCTACTCCCATCACCCCTAATATTATCAACATTATCAGGTTAAACTTCATACTCTTCATTTCCTTTCCTATTTTACACTGAATACCAACTGTCTGTGATTGTGGCAATTAGTAGTAGAATTGCTTTATTAACAAATAGTGCAGATTTATTACAGCTTAATTGTTGAGTATTGGCTTAACAATCAAGACGTTCGACATTGAACCAATAGGTTGCTCTTTCGAAGCCCACTCCACCTAATTCGGTTTGAGCAACTAGGTAATATGATTAGCCCTTATATCTAGAGTGTAGTTCGAAGTATACGAACCTCTGTACTGGTAAATGAGTTAGCAGTAAGTATGAAGAGATTTACTTTTAAGGTTTGTTTAGGTACAGAAAACAAGATTATTTTCAGGTTTACGTCTAATATTGATACTCATTTTTCTGAAATTCTCTGGGAACTTTCTATTGAATGCTGTTTGGATGACGTATTTTCAACTTTATTTCCCAACTTTTCAAAACTTCAAATAATTCTCGGGTAGTTCTAACGGCAATCGAATCCTAGATTTGTATTTTGAAATGTCTATTACCTATGAAATCCATGTTAAGTTTTGAACGAATGCTAATTTTATTTATTTCCAACTCTGTCTAACTTTTTATGATGTAAACCTTTAAAAAGACTGGTTCTATAGCAGTAGTCAGTCATGGGCAATCAGATGAAGCAATGCATAAATTTATTGAAGAAGCTGAACTTGTTAAAGTAAGTGGTACACATGTTTTTTAGCTATCATTTAAATGCGTGATCTATCGACCAATTTAAAATGAACTGGAAAAGTAAACGAGTTCACTATATAAAACTAGTTTTTTCTCTGTTCATTATGAACCAACCGTCCGTGACTTACTCTCGTGATTACAAAACAGTTTTCAAATCAGTGTTACTTACGTTTTTAAATATATACTTATGTCCTTTTGAATAACTGGATTATTCTAACTAGAAGATGTTCATAACTTAGTTGATCGTAATCGGTCTTATTGTGGCTATCAACAGAATCCAGGAAGAGAGTTTGGTCTTATTCGGGACTCTCCTCTCAATTGAGCTACTGAACACAAATGACTACTGACTCGTTCAATGCGCGTCTATTTGTCAGTAAGCGTTCGTAATTCGCGGTTGTTATTCAGGACTGCAGTTGATCAGTCTCTGTTGACATATTTAGATCCTGAATATGCCTGCCTTGATACTTCTATAGAGTTACAAGTTTTTCATAATCGCTAAATTATGAAATCCTCATCATAAACTAACTAATCTTTGGAATAATATTTGTTCAACAGATAATCATTTATAATGTATGAAAAAATATGAAGGACAGCAAATAGTTTATTGCAAAAACTGATAAATTTGCTTTCAACTACTCGATGTAGGAAACATTTTTATGGAACATCATATTCCTCGAACTTAATCGGAAAAGATTCAAAGTCCTGAATGTGTTGTGTAATAGAAGTCTTAATAATAATTACAAAGCAATTTCTTTTCATTTGATTTATCACGTACAAATCCAGGTACTGGGGATTTACCTCCACACTTTATTTGGAAGAATGCAATAACAGTACTTGATTACTTAAACTAAAGTAAATAAGGTGATTATCAAAACTATGTGATATATTAGCTGAATACATTTCGAATAATGAAACGGGTCATAAGATTGATCTTAACTCGACTTTTGTGGTATTGTACAAAAGTGTTCGCACTTTAAAGCTGCCCTAGTAATATTAGCTTATTATCCAGTGACGAGGTTTCGAGTTGTTTTCACATTATTTCTTTATTATCTTAATCTCCTCTTACCCTCCATTTCTAGTCTAGTTGACCTTTTATTTTTATATGTTTTTAACAAGTATGTGTGTGATATATTAATATCACATATTTCTGATAATATTCATCTTATTACTATCGAAATTTATCGAAGGGACTGTTTACTATAAAGTAGATAAAATAGTATTCGAACCAATGATCGAGTGATTTTCAAAGCAAGTACTTTTATCATTTCCTTTTGTTGAATATTAATTAATAAAAACTTTACTAAAAGTATGGTTGGGGTCCGCGCTACTATCATAATCAGTGGTTGGAGACTCTGGGTGACATGGCTCAGAATCAATGTATACACTCTTTGTCTTCCGTCAAACCATGAGATTAAAATTACTTTATACCTTTCTTTCTACGAACAAACTCTTTCTTCCTGTATTATATCCCTATATGCAATCCTTCTTTTATATATTACTACCATTGAAGTAGCTACTTCTATGAATTTCGTGTTCATCTTGTTGTGCTAATGGGGTATGGCAACTTGGATCGATGCATATATGTGCCTGGTCCTACGTTGTAGCTGACTGGCTGATGTAATTCCATGACAGTTCCGATGCAGTCCACTCAAGGTGCACATATACTATAAAAAACCGATTAATTACCTTCACTAAAATTGACAATAGGAAAATACAAACCTTTCATGGACAAACTAAGCAAAGTTCAACTTTTTACTCATTAGTTTACTTTTTTATTTATCTGAATACATGATCGAAATGTTTTGTCTTTTCACGTCTGTTTTGTATTTTTCACTTCCAGTGTCCATTATATGTTGCACCTACGTTAGATTCACTACTGACTATGGAGAATATGACTAAGCCATTTAAAGATATATTTGACAATATGAACACTATACCTAATAGTCAATTATTAAATCTTGCTTTAAGTTTAACTACAGTAAATTATTGGTTTGCCAAATTACATGGAACTACTAATAATGATAACGCTACAAATATTGGTTAGTGATTACATTATTTTCCCCTTAATTGTATGTTCTTTTTTTCAAAAGTTTGTTTATGCTGATTATTTGTATTGTTAAAGTTTAGTGATTCTCGTCTATAAAAATTTGTCTATTTTTAATGATCATTTTTACTGTAAACAGAATTATTGGAAGTCAATGATGTTAGATGTTGAGATAGCGCTATATAATCTTACTTTTACCAACTTCCATCACTTGCGTTCTGAACAAGATGTGTGTTTACCGACCGACCATACGGCAAGTACTGTATATCTCAGTCCGCTTTTTACTAATATGCTTCTGCTGCGAAATAGTCTATGAGAGTAGATGTGTGTAGACTTCAAGTATTTGATTACACTTATTTTCGAAACATTTCCCATATATAATGTGATCACATAAAGTGGAGTGCTGAGAATAGGCTTAGAGTACTGAGTAATAGCAGTAAGTCCATTAATAAAGCTTTTATCATCTGAGATGGTTAGGACATGCGGTACACTTGACTGAAATAGGTTGGAAAAATCAGAACAGAACATCAGTTCATTGAGTCACACTTTTAAAATAATCTGTTTTAAACCTTGTCACGAAATTAATTTCAAATCAGTTACTTCTATCATATTAACAGCCTAAACAAACCGTACAATAAGAAAAACTCAAATAATTGAGTTTTTCCAATGATTAGATATTTTGTGACAGATTTCATATTATTTCCATTATCTCATGAAGTTAAAAAGGCATATACTAAACACAATTTTCAGCGAAGAATATGACAGACAGATGTAACACAATTTCCAAGCATAGGTTTAGATACTCAAATTTTTGTGTAACAATTGATGATACTATTCCATTGTCCAGACTGAAGTAGAGTGGATTGTGATTCGAATCTGCTACCTGGTGATTGAAGGGCAAGCCATCACTCCACAACAATAGAAAACAAGCTGGAAAGTGACGGTGTGCGGATATAGAAGATTTTAGTCTATGAATCATACTGAATTTATATACTAGCATAATGTTTCCACTGCAGCTTTCGTGCTCCCCCTCAACAACTGTCATAGTCCTCAACAGGCTATGGTAAATTATTTTCAAGAAATCACATAAAGAAATCAGAATTAGTTGATTTTTGTTATGTGCATTCAAAATATTCACTTGATTCATAATAAATCTTGTTACCCCTAGTTTGTTGGGCATGATTTGGTAGCTTGCAGAACACTCGGTTAATTAAACCGTGATCCATGTATTGTATCATGTTACAAATTCCTCTCTTTAGCACTTTTTTCCTTGTAAGTCTTCCGTTCTTTTTTGTTCCAGGTTTACAGCCAACATCTGAATGGAAACCGAGTTCAACTGTTTTACTTAGTAAGTTTTCACTCTTTAAGAAAAACGAGAAAATATGTGTCATGCCGTAACTTTAGGTGTTCAGAAGCGATCGGGAGGTTTTCTGCTATTTGTTACTCATCAGCAAGATATCTTTGCGATCTTCAAGCAATAGATTCTTGTGTATGCGACATTGGTGACTGCTCTGATCGATTTGTATAAATATCTTAGTTCTACAGGATGTCAGTCACAGCATTGATGACTCAGTGATAACACTTGGCGATATCGGTTCGAATTGCATTATGCCTTCTAATTCGCGCCCTGATGGTGTAAAGTTGCTGGTAACACAGAAACGAAATTCAGGGTTTTTTACTGATTTGACTTCCGACCATCTGACATCCAAAGCACAGTGCATGCGATATTCAGTCACCTTCATAACTGGCCACATTGCAACCTAACGGTTGTGTAACCTAAAATTGTAACTACAGAAAGAGAAACTACATCAATTCTATTCGAGCCCTGTATGATACAACTGGTTGGTAATAGATATTGAGATGAAAATGGGAATCGATTTTTCTATTAAACATTTAGTGTGTAGTCTTCAATTATCGTGACAACAGAAAATTGATAAGAATTACGTGCATATAATTTCAATATGAGTAGGACTACTATACATGTAATACAAAGTAAACTAGCAAAATTCGGTAACCTGTTTATCGGGTATGTTGATAGACACGGATTTCTAATTACAGTAGTGATTATAGTACGTGAAAACTAGTAAACTTACAAATTCAGAAGGAAGCAATTATTTTACATCTATTTCAATGAATTATTCTAACGGATCACTTAAACTAATACAAATTGCTATATACGTTTAAATATAGAAATAAATCACCATAGTAGGATCTTGAAAACCGGATAGTCAATTAACCTTAAACGTCAGCAATAGCTGAGAAAATGTGCTTTCGAATATAACGACCCATAATTACGTAAAAAGGTGTTTCGTTATGAACATTAAAATGATTTTGAGTCAGAAATTATGTATAAAGAGGTCAGTATTACCTGAAGTTTGTATGTGTTCAACCAGACATGGCCGAAAACCGTTAAGACGAAGATATTTATAGGATAGATGACAACTATCTACTAAATGTTGTTATAATTGCTAATTAGTCTAGAGGTTAAGCGATATGTATATTTACTGAGGGCTTTATTTGTTCCAAAGATGCTTTATCCGCCCGATGGCCTGGTCGATGGCAAATTGTAGTTCGAAAAAATATAACTTATTATCTGGATGGTGCACATACTGTAGAAAGTTTACAGGTGAGTATAATTTGAATAAATAAAGGAATTGTAATTTTTGTATGTTATTAATTGTGTAATCTCACCATGAAATGTACTGCTTGTGTTTCACAAATTTTTTAGTTGTTTTTTTATTGAAATGATTGAGTTGCATATTAAACTCTTAATTGATGATGGCAAAGATTTGTAGCTCAGGTGGGTGATTTCGGTAGAGCATCAATAATCATCAAGTCACAGGTGGAAAATATTCAAAATGAATATGCCGACAATCATCAAGTAATGGTCAATAATAACCGATCATGGTCGACAAGACAAACTATCAGTCGTATGTGAAGGAATTCGAATAACTCACTTCTATCTGAAGTTTGTACTGATGATGTTCAGTGTAATAATGGAAATCTCACTATTGAATCATTCAGTTCAGAAGACGAAACGGTGCCAAAACTATCATTTTAAAAACTGTAAATAAAGCATGCAAATCACTTCATCGTATGTGATTAGTGTAAGAATAAGGTGCACGTAAAGTTGAACGCTAAGTATGTATGTACTCAAACCATTTATTTGTTCAATAACTGTATTCATGAACAAATCTATTGTGACTAGTGAAAATAACTCGGCGTAAAGTGGTTTTAATGAAAGGTTTTTTATAGATTATTACCACACATATTCTTATTGTATAACTTAAGTAACTAGATTACTCTCACAGACACATTTTTATTCGTTTGTATTTAATTGTTATTTTTCATTTTACGGTTTGATGTGGTCTTGTCTGTCTGCATATAAACCGCATCTGCCTGATTTAGAGATATAACTGGGGTTGGTTTCTACCTTGAGACCCAAAACAGGGCATAGAGAAAAGCTACAGAATCGTGGACGAATAAAAACTTAGTTATGTCAGCTTGAGGTTAGTAGTGCTGGTAGGGCGTGTGATTGGCCATGTTAGAGACACTAAGCTATAGAGTAAATAATGGGCGCAAAATAGACCAAATTAAGATCGCGATTCTGATTGTTGACTGGGCATGTGATATTGTTCAGCGGTCACAAGACATAATAATGACGATTAATGATATCGTTTAAATTAAAATGACTATAACTGTAATGTTATAAAAACTAGTAAATTCATTTGTTTACATAACCTTTTTTAACACCACTGCTTGCAATTTTACACCATATCGCTTGCCACTCTACCGAATAGACGTTTTAAGTAGTGAATAATAATGAGTTTGAAAAATTTTAAATGTTTATGGGGAGTTTATCAACCAAAGTTATTAATTGGCATTTATAATGGCAAATTACAATATACCACGTAATTCACATTCATTTTCGTTAAGATTAACAGTATTACAGCCCATATTTCTGATTCATATATACTTATTTTGATAACAACACTGAATTTGCATATTTATCTTATTTTTATCATCAATTTGACAGGAAGCAGTTTGTCGAAAATCATATAAATGTTAAATAATGATAATGATAAGATTATTAAATACTAGTCGTGTAGGATGTTAGCTTGATGGTTAGATCACTCGACTTTTAGTTGTAACTTCGAACTCTTTCCTGCCCGATTTTGATTTGAGCATCCATTTAGTAATTCCAGCCTTGAAACCCGATGTATAGTTCATTTTAGGGTACATAAATCTGTACTTCGTAAATAAGTTACATGTTTATTGCAGCAATTCAATCAGTTTAAAATTTTTGGCCTTCGGTTTTGTGGAAATGGTAGGATTTTCATAGATTTTAAATCACGAGCTGATACTTAGATAATCATTAATAACTTGGAAACACTGGATGGCCATTGCATCTTAGTATAGAATCCTTCACGATCTGTTCTCGTTCAAATCATTTGTTATATATAACTACTGAAATTGTTTATGATAGTTATCGAAACGATTAACTAATATTTGACTATTCAATCTCTGAGACATTGACAAAAATAAACTGAATTGGAAAATTTTTGATAGAGTCAGACCGAAGAAAGTAGTGAATTCACAAAAGCCTTACCATTAAGGTCTTCTGTAGTCGGTCTTCACTCCAACATGATCCCCGATCTGTTTATTAGTTAATCAGAAAAATGATAATCAACTACGATCACGCAGGAATAGAGAAAATTGGAATATATATGCATATTCGGTAAACAACTTACTTCCAGATAACCATGAATCAAATCTCATATCGATCGGACAATCTATTAGCCACTTATAAAGAAATCCTAGTTACAAATTCATTTTCTTAAATCACGTCCTATTAATAGGCAAATAATAAAAGTTTTATAATTAAGCCAACTAGCTCAATGAACACTAGCAGAACTCTTTACCGTCTCCAAATAATCATATCAACATAGATCGATGATACCTTCATTTGTTTTGTTAAGAAAAAAATAGTCATTGAATAAATCTTGAAATGGTTTTTTATTTAATATATGTATGTGTCTGTTGGTGAAATTGTCTACGTATCTTCATATATCACTTTTCGTTCGACTTTCCTGCGTAAATATTCAGTGGTAACTTGATAGTTAATATATACTTGTACTAACCAACTAGATGGTAGATTTTCAATTTTCTCTCTACTGTCTTTATTCGGTCACCTTTTAACTTGATTGTTATTTCCTCATACTTCAATTCACCTTCTCACAGTTCACTTATGATGTGTATTTTGTACTGCTTAATATTTCTTTTTTTTGCCAGTCTGCAATAAAATGGTTTCAGAATGAGAGCTTTGCTTTAAATAATAACAGGTATGTTTTCGTAAATTTTTAGTGTTGAATACCATTTTATTCGTTTTATTAAAGAAAGTTTTTCTTGCTCATTTACTCTACCCTCTGGTCTTCATAATGTAATATTTCAGTCAGTCAATCAATCGCAACGTAGGACCTAGTACGTGTGTACATATGTCCAAGTTGCCACACCCCATTAGCACAGGAGACTGAAATTGTTGGAATCTTATTTTTCTTTTGTGATCTAACTAATACCATAATGCACAATTATTGATCAATATAAATAAATCAGAATGTATGAGTGTCCAAACCAAGTTCAAATCTAATCGTTTGGAAAATTCTGGACATTGGATAAATAATATGTTATTATTTGTATTTTCCGATGAGCGAAAAAACAAAATCGTTTTTACTGACTTCTCTCCATCACTTTGTTAATGCATTAACAAAGTGATAGTAGACCACAATTTACGAAAATCTCAGCCCATTTATGTGCTAATTTGATCGAACTTCTTTTATATGAAGTAATTCTGAGTTTTAAATAAGTAAATGAATTCATAAAGATGAGAAACGAGCGTATGTTGCTAGAGTTGATCATCACACCCCAACAATGCAAAGCTATCAGTTTGTTATGTCCCAACAAGAATAATGTATGGTAATTTTGGGATCCATTTGTGAACCAATACTAAACGTATATTTTTGTCGTATAATTGTTAAATAACTAAACTATTCATATTCATGTTCCTCTTATTACAAGTTATGAATCATTATTATACGTTCATGTCTATTAGTCACTACCTCCCACATTCACAGCCGCATTTGGCCAAATTTTGTACGAATGTTATTTTGTATTTTATGCTACGTTGTGGTCTGTTTGATAGGTATACAAACTCAGTATGTTTGGAATATAGTGATTCATATTGCAGAGGCTGAGATTGGCGTTCTGGACTTAACTGACTGGGCTAGGCGGAAAGCAGAACCAATCAGAACTCTAGGCTGCTCGTACGTATTTTACGCATTCTTGGTCCGGTCAATAGTTTGCTGCCTCTGATTGGCGGCTTTAGGCTAAATATAACACAGTTACCTCCAGCCTTTTAAAAAGAACACACATTGATAATGAATAAAAGGGAAAGAAAAGAAAAACTAACTAGTACAATCAAAATTCTTAAAATAAATCATGTAGGAACTTACCAAACGTTATCATACACAACCTCATATACCTCATGCAGTTCATTATTTCTTATTGAAGTCATCTAACCTTGTATACAATATAATCTTCCACCAGATATTTAATAGAATTTGTAATTAAACTATCATTTCTCTTATTCTGTTTGACCTTTATTCATTCTAATCATGAGTCTCATAATTTCATTTGGCGTATAAGCTGGTTTAAGTTAACATTGCATATTGTTAATCTCAACATTAACAATTTATTTTATTTCACGAGTTTGTTCTATTGAAACGTAGGATAAATTTTACATCCTCTTTCGCTCTCCCTCTCTCTTTGTCATATAACGTAGTTTTGCATTTATCTTAAAATGATTAATTCCCATTCTAATATTCTTATTTGTTTGATAGACGTCCTATACGAATTATTATTTTCACTGTGATTGGTCCACGAGATCCTAAGCCATTTTTAAAATGTTTACAAGTAAGAGTTTTTGAGTGTAATAATTTTTTTAGTGTAGTTATTTATATTTTGAATTTAATGTTTATTATTGACTATGGTAGTGGTTTGTGTATTTGTGTGAATATTTTGTATCATTTCAAGATAATTTTCTGTCATGAACTTATATCATTTGAAGAGCTATTAAAGATCATAGCAAACTGTACAACTGCTGTTTGTAGAGATCATGATACTACCTAGAACCGGTTAACGGAACGAAAGTCAGCAACACAACAACAGGACAAACTAAGCGATTCCAGTGAGGAAGAAGACCAGATTCAGCCAGGAGAAATATATATATTCCACAAGCGGTCGGAAGCACAAATGAACAAGCACACAACTTATGCGTATATATACAGTAAGCAAATGTCCTTGGAAACGTTACAATTTAGCGTACTAAAAGAAGGAACGAACTAACGGCATTCAAGGTCCTTTCAGGTGGGAAATACAAACTGAAGGTAAAGGTGTGCTATTTTTGCGCGAAAATGAGAAGTTCAGATTTCCATAATAAAATTGCAAAGTGAGTTCTTAGGATCTAGTATTTCCAACAACAACTGTATTGGTTCAGTTGAAAACTTTTCTTATACGTAGATACTTGTGACTTTACATTATTTTAAACAGATCCTGTGTCTAACATTCTATTGTCGAGCAACGAAATTGGAGTCCAACAGTACGTTTCAACTCAGTAGTCTTAAGGTATCTTCCTCCCTGGATGGCCATGTATTTGATCTTGTGTAGTAGAGTCGTGGTTACCCACTGTTGGAGAAACCCGAATTATTCGTTATAATCGTTGTTAATTTCCTCTTATTTTCTTAATCGCTTTGCTATATCTATATATCATATTCCATTTATCAGGAAACGATAATGTCAAGCGTTTTGTTGGTGAAATGATTCCTTTTCTAATAGAACCATATCGGTTTTTGATTACAATGTAAATAATCTCAGTGATTATAAATGTCCATAATTTGATGATAGGGATGTAAATTGGTGTAATTACTTGTTTTTTGTAAAAACCTTATTTTCAATTTATAGATCATAGTTTCAAACGAAGATTTATTTGCTTTAGTTCAGTCAATCGTGTAGTAACAATAGCACTCACACGAAAATTGTAGCTGAAGGCCAATTAGCATACGTATGAAATAAGTTAATATCTTACTTACCTATAGTAACTCCTAGACCTTAATGACACATGCATTCATACAATTTCAATGACAGCTTTAGTTATTAGAAATTATTCATCTAGTTCTTTGAAATGGATATTTACTAATATTCTTGGAAATTCTCCAACTGGATAGAATTTATGGGAGCATTTCACGTTTGTTTCCACAAGTATTTGATATTCCAATCTCTTCGTAATAAAAAATACTTATTCCAGGCCCACTCCATTGCAAGGAAATATTTAAATCTGGGAAAAGTTTCTGTCACTAATTTAAACTTTTGGATAGCCTATAATTCATTTGAGATTAAAACTCCGTTAAAATTGATCTCACCACTCAGAATTTAACCGACTAATATAACTATTTCATGCTTTAGTCTCAATTTAAGTAAGTCAGCGGTAACGTTCCTTTCTGTGGAACTTCGTGTTTCAGTTAGAGGGATATAAATTGAATTAAAGCATGCTGCGTACTGGATTATGTCGGGGGCACTCTGGTTCGCTATTTCTTATCTAATTAGCACTAGTGGACACTTGGAGAAGACTAGAATTTTCTTATGGAAAAACTAAATATACTAACATCTCTCTTATTGTGATTCCTACTCCCATCCACCCTTATTATTTGGAATATAATTACATTCCTGTTCAACCATGTTCTGATTTGGGGACTTGTCGAGTGGAGTAGTGTGCAAGAATACTAAGCAATGAGAGTAGCTGGTCGTAATAAGAGAAATTATAAAACTTTTAAATTAAAACTAGGAACATCGGACCCCTAAAGGAACGCCTTAGCAGTCAATCATAATCAATGTATATGCCACAAAAAATGTGTCTTAACCCAAATTACTATTCCACACCACCAAGATCGGATAAAATTAACATAATGAATGGCAAGGGACTAAAAATAATTGTACTGCAAACTACCTGCTTATGCCTATCACCTCTCGTGCGGCCTAGACCGCCTATCAGGGATCTCCAACTAGCTTTGTGTTTGGTTCTACTTCCCAGTTGCTGTTCTTGATGTATGTCTCCAAATTTCAGCCTTAATTTATTGCTTGATCTGTCTCTTTTCCTTTTGTCTTGGGGACTAAAAGTTAGGGCTTTCTCTGTAATGAAATTTGATTTTAATCGCGTAACCTATATACCTCCAGCATTTTTTCCTGATTTCCTCCTCAGATAGAGATGGTTTGCTTTCTGCCACAGTAGATTACTTCTGATGATGTCTGGCCAAAGGATCTGAATCATCTTGAGTAGACAGCTTTCTATAAATACTTGTACTTTTTTATGACAGCTGTAGTAGTCTTCTAAGTTTCATTTTGGTACGATAGAACCGCCTTGGTTTTCGTACTGAAAATGCTGATTTTGATATTGGCTGACAGTTGTTTTGATCTCTAGATACCCTTTAATTGTATGAATGCCGCACTTGCTTTGCTAATTCATGCCTTCACATCTGCATTAGATTCTTGTTTATCAGTGATACTGCTCAGGTACGTAAAAGTTCTCAACTCTTCTGGAGCTTCTCCATCAAGTATGTCACTGCCACTAATGGCGGTGAAAAATATCCAAAATTAAAAATGTGGTTCTAGAAAACAGAATAAAAAAGGATGTGTGTAAGACCTCTGAAACTTAAGATTGATTGAAAGAAAGGAAACAAATGAGTCTACACCATTATGGTGATTCAAAATTGTCACTCAACGTCTCCAATTACTAATTGAGGTTATTTTGAAGAAATCAACCAGGTAACCTGCATCTACTAACTTAGCCCAGATCAACTGTCACTAACTTTATCAACTGAAGTAATGTGTTGCTTCGACCATCTTTAGCTTTCTTGCAAACTATTCAGTTCTATTTAAATACTACACCTCGATATTCATGCAGTATATGTATGTGATAAGTAATGCAATCACTATACATTTATATTATTAGATAATACATATTTCATATTGCTAATTTTTGTTATTTTTCAGTCTTCCTCATTCGCATTTGATTTGGTTGTTTTTGCCAATCCTCACGATGGTCAATTTGGTAATTCTACCTAGTGTACATTATTTTTAATGCTATCTCTTCATGAAACGTGAAGCAATTCTTTATTTGTCCAGGCACTTTCTAACATGATTCTAGGAATACATGTGTAACTACTATGAAAGTGCGTAGATTTATACCAGAATCGCATAAATTAATACGAATCTGTGTAGATCTGAGGATTGTACGGTTTTTCAAACAAATTTATTTAGGCTGAATTCAATATTATAGTATTTTGTTAGGCATGATGAGCTATCAAACAGGATTGTTTTGTTAAATCTGTGCAGATTTTCGTGCACTAGCACATATGGTTTAAGTCAAGCTCCAATTTTTAAACTTTTGATATTCATTTTTCACATCTCATTTGCTTTTCAAACGAAATTTCCCTTTGAAATCATTATGTAAATGTTAGATTTGTGGCTTTTCATTGATTAAACTGGCTAGAAAATACTTAACATATATCCAGCCTCTATCTACCTAGGTGTATTTTACTGGGAAACATTGGGGTACATTGGAAAATGAGGCAACCAAACTAAGACATGACAGGAATCCACTGAGTCATTGTCGATTTTTTTGAACTGTGTGCTGGGAGATATAGACTTGATGGTTAACATCTGTTTATTATCCGTAATTTTTGGTTAACATTGCCGAAATTCGATCATCTCATAAATCCTGAGTTTCGTGTGATATTATACATTTTTTCAATGTCAGTCGTTCATCTCATAACTTGGTTGTTGCATTTAGCTCATCATTGTAATCAATGTTACTGTTTTCACTCTTCTTCATCTCATACTGCTGTAAGCCGACCGGAACGTTGTACGCTTATAATGGTTAGATTGAATGTTCGTTGAACCGATGGTCAACACCGACGGTAATACAACTGTACGCGTCATGTACTGGTGGGTTCATCTGAGGGTAATCTTAGCCAAGTTGTTATGACCTTGATTTGTCTACCCACTATTTGGTGTAGAGGATACTTGTCTAATCTAGATTAAGACCTTGATGTGATAATCTGATTGGCTTAACCTTAAGACTTGTACGCGTGAGTTCGAGTTGGAGTAGAGAGAAGAAAACTATTTTGTCACCTGATTGGTGGGCGAGCATACGAATGAGAGAAGACAAGACAACTGGAACACTACTCGATCTATTTCCTGACCACTGAACTCACTGGATTCAGATTAGTGTAAAAAGGTACATGAATAAATAAGTGAATAACCCGACCGCAACGTACAATAATTAGGAAAAATACAATTATGTCCAAATCTGGGAATTAGAGTAGAAAATAGGGTGCAAAATAATATGTTTAAATTACAATAGCTTCGGAACAGAAAAAGGTATGGCAGTGAAGGATACATCGAACGAAAGCTTATGTTCTGTAGAATAGATTAGGGACAAAAATAAATGTCAGTGTTTTACAAGCTTTGAATAAAATGAAATAACGTCCCGAAAAATAGCCTTCGTAGTTTGTCAGGGCTTCTTGCTTCCCGGTTCACATCACAAGTATAGAAATACACCAAGTCATTATAACTAGTATAATGACTACTCGATTTCTATACTAGTAAACTTTTCGTTTATTCGAATAATGAAATACTCTGTTATGATGGAATTTAATGAGATCGCTTTCTCTATCTTGAAGTTCCTACATATGATCGCTCATTTACAACCCCTTTCAAGCACGTTCTTCCTACTATTTTCAAATGCTAACTATGTTTTTATACAGAGGAGGTGGGATTTATTATTTTTATTTATTTGAACACATAAATATTGGTACAGGGGGGCACCAAATATATATGCGCCACACAAAACAATGATAATTTGAAAAGAAGGAGAGAAAAAAAGTAATGAACATGGGGAATTATAAATACATAAAGAGAGAGAGAGAGAGAGAACAATGATGGGGAAAACGGAAAGGTACAATCAGAAGAAATCGTTCAGTTAAGGAAGATACAACCATTTTTTATGAAGAAAGTAAAAGAAGGTTACAGCAGGATCGCCACTGGCTTCTATTCTGAGCCATATCTGATAACGCCTCTAGCCACTGCGTTACACCGTCTCTCGGACCCCAGCCAGGGAGTCGTGAAGGACCAACAGAAGCTAGCCCTTTGCAGCTTTCTTTCATACCTCGACACCATGTCATACACTGACCACCTCTCCACTTTTTCCAACCAGTCCCAGAGTCGGCAAATAATGCACGACGAGTAATTCTCTGGGACGACATTCGTAGAACATGTCCAAGCCACTGAAGTCGGTGTTTCAAGATGGTGACACCAATTTTATTATCGTCTCTGTGACCGAACACACGATGCCGGACCTCTGCATTACTGACAGCAATCCTTCGGAGACAACGATGATCGAACACAGAGAGTCGTCTAACATCCTCAACTCGGAGAGGCCAGGTTTCACAAGCATAGAGCAAAACTGCTCTCACCGTCGCGTTGTAGATCCGACCTTTTACAGCCAGACTATCATCACGAAGGCGCCAAAGATGGCTCAGATTGGCATAAGTTGCTCTGGCTTTCACTATACGTGCATTGATCTCATCACTCACACCACCACCAGCACTTATGCAGCTACCTAGATACACGAACTTCTCAACTACTTCTATCTGCTCACCATCCAGAGTGAGTACAGGATTAGAATCCTGCCAGTCTTGTAGAAGAACTTTGCACTTCGAAGGTGCGAAGCACATACCACACCTACGGACATTGACTGCCAACTGATTAAGTGCGGATTGCATGGCTTGGGCATTCTCGCACAGTAAGACAATATCATCCACATACTCAAGGTCGAGAAGTCTTTCTCCAGGCAACAGGTCGACACCACCATTACTTACATCCATCAGAGCTGTTTCCAGAATGTAATTGATGGCAAAGTTGAAGAGGAATGGTGAGATTGTGCAACCCTGCCTAACTCCACTGCTTGAATGGAATAGTGGAGAAAGGTGGTTGTATGCCCTCACTCTGCCTGAGGTGTTTGTGTATAGGGCTTCTAGGATGTTGATAAACTTCTCAGACACACCCTTCTTCAATAGGCAATCCCAGAGAACAGTTCTGTCCAACGAATCGAAGGCAGCCCTGATATCAAGAAACACTACGATTGTTGACCTTTGATAAGTATGATGGTGTTCTAACATTTGGTGGGGTGTGAAGATATAATCAATACATCCTCGACCAGAACGAAACCCAGCCTACTCCTCGCGAGTCAATCCTTCTCGGGTTCTGAACAACCTACGAAGTATGACGGAAGCCAATAGCTTGGACGCAATCGGAAGTAGACTTGTTCCCCGATAGTTGTTACAGGAACGACGTGAAACCTTTTTAAAGATAAGGACAACTATCGACTCATTCCATGACGTTGGTAGACTCTCTAGTTCCCAGACCTTTGTAAACAACGTCATCAGTCCCTTAGTCAGAAAGTCACCACCATCTTTAAAAAGAGCCGGAGGTAAGTCGTCTGGGCCCGGTGATTTATGGCGTTTCAAGAGTTGGAGTTCCTTGCGGACTTCCGCCTCATTTGGTAGATCATTCGTCACCGGCCATGGAGGGCAGGACAGTCTGACCGATGTTGCCGGAGAAGCAGGCCAGTTGAACTTCCCTTCAAAGAATTCTGCCCATCGTCCAAGACGTCGATGGATGTTAGTGATTGGCGTTCCGTCATCCTCGCAGATTGTTTCGCTCACACCAGACTTCTTGCTGCCAGTGGCTCGGATGAGTTGGAAGAGCTTCCGGTAATCACCAGATGCAGCTGCTGCTTCCAGCTCATTAGCACGCTCCGACCACCAGGCTTCTCGGTCCTTATGCAAGGTTTGCCCAAGCTCACGGTCACTCGGAGTAGACCGACGGGCTTCAATCAGTTGTAAGGAACCAGAAGAATCCCAGTCCTTGTAAGCGGGACGTTTTGCGAACCTACAACAGACTGTACCCGCCATTTTCATGGCGTCATGCAAATGCGACCAATGCTCATCTATACTTTTCGGTGGAATGGTAGCTAGCCTAGAAACTAGCTCGGTTCAATACTTACTAGCAACAGAAGTTGCAGCCAGCTTGCTAACATCAGTCCCTTGGTGTCGGTAACTTCGTTATCCACTGAAAAGTAAAGTGAGATTGGTGCAGACCAGGGTATGATCAGAGTCCAGATAGGTACTCCAAAAGAAGCGGCAGTCTTGTACACAACCACGCCAGCGGTAGCTGATCGCGATGTGATCGATCGGAGTCCAGGTTTGAGATGCAGGAGGGGGACGCCAGGTGGCTCATCGGCAATGACTGTGCCGAAAGTTAGTGCTAGCCACAAACAGGTTGTGGTCTGTGCACAGTTGCAGTAGACGGTCGCCGTTATCTGTCCCGCGACCAACAAGTCCCCATCGGCCACCTAAACGACTCTCTTCTGTGCCTAGACGCCCGACCTGAGCATTCAAGTCTCCAGCTAGTACTACAATATCTGTCGAACGCACTTTCTGGAGAAGAACAGTAAACTGGTGGTAGAATTCATCCGGGCTGCAATCTGTCGGGTCATAGGCGGAGATGACGAAAAGGCATCGTTTCTCACGCCGATTTCTTCTCACTTTGATGGAACTTTCTAATCTAACACCACATAACCGACTGTTAATGGGGATCCAATCGACTAGTGCTGCCTCAGCCCTTGCGCTTAATGCGACACCAACGCCAGCAAGACCAGACGAAGATGCCACAGGGTCCCCGGATAAACGCACATAAAACAAGCTTTTTGAAGCGACAGATGGAGAGCGAATTTGTAGTACTTCACCAGAGTCTTGAATACGGGTCTCGGATAAACAACAAACGTCGATATTAAGACTTTCCAAAGACATAGACAGCCCTATCTGTTGTCCAAACTGCATAAGTGTGCGAACGTTGAAGGCAGTCAGTTTGAATAGTGCACGTGGTTTCAGAAAAACTGCTTCAGTACTCGTATTCGGTGGTAACATACAATTTTCAACTAGGCAGTGACTCGAGAACGTTTAAATAAAGCTGAATTTTTACCATAGGCGAGCTGCTGTCTGAGTCGAAACGGAAACAAAAAGTAGAAATAGGAGATAGCGAATAAATGACGTAGTAAATAATAATAGTACCAGTCATTTCAATGTTAGTCGGAGAGAAACGAATATTTTCCATAAGCAGATAGTTCATCATGGTTTTAGTGTGTGGGCTGAGATACTGCCCGGGTGCCCGAACCGAAGCAGGTGGTATTCTTAGGGGGCCACTCCCCGAGCCTTCGACCTAAAGGTCTAGTCCACAAGGCAGTGGAGCATCGTGAGGAGATGCAGTCCCATGGAAGCCGGTGACCAAAAGTTGGTTCATACGCCATTTGTTCCTTCAGGATACTGGAGCCCATGTGCACCATAGAATCGGGATCCGGTTATAGCGCCGGACATTCGCTTTTCGTCCTCTCATTTTCGTAAACAACACCCCCGCCACGAGAAGGCAGTGAGTAGGACTTCCCTGGCAGAGGCTGTATACGCGTGGCCATGTGAGAGTATTTCGAGAGGGAGGGCAAACCCTCCCCGCTCTCGGCCATACCAGGGCATTTGGGGTGGAATTCGGTCGCTTAAATAAGGCTAATGGATACTAAGAACTATCGGGGAAGTTTGAAAATCTTGACTTGAAATCGTTGGTCCACATCGATTTAAAGAGAATAAATAGTTCAGCAAGTCGCTCCAGTCATCGGCTATCGTGGCACTTCGTCTCTTCATGTTGTCATGTTGGATTTTGAACTGAATGTTTAGGTCAAATGTTCAAAGTAATTCTCTCTTAGTTAACCACCCATCTCGGTTTGATTGTCCGATTAGTCTTCACACTAGTATTTTATCAGTTTAACATTTATTTCTCATTAGTAAACTCTAGTTGATTAGTAATAAATAGTAAATCGATCTTTTTATTTATGTGTTCTAGACATTCTTCCCAGTAAAGAGTCGCATGATGAATTATGCTTCAATATATGGCGTCAACTCAAATCGGAATCGAACACCGGGAGTAATTCTACATCAGATTCTGTTGCTTCAAAGCATGTCGAATCATTATCTGCTTTTATAAAATTGATGCAAAACTTGCAGCGTTTTTCTCTTCATGCTTTGGAATATTTTCCGTGTGAATGCAGTAATTATGATGAAGCCGACAATAAAACTTGCTGTGATGTTTTTGTCACTGGCAGTCTATATATGGTTGGTCGGATATTAAAGGTACACTTTTTGTTTACTGTTTTAAAAACATAACATGTATTTGTAACGCAATCAACGACAGACATGTATACCTTCTAAATTGTTATGATCTTAATCTGCCCACTGGTTATGTTGTTAAATGTTTAGGAAAATTTGGTTTTGGACTAGTAAACGTCCTTGTGTATGTTAGGCTACCTAGTGTAGCCTTGAGACTAAATGCGTGAGTTCGGTTGTGAATAATTTGGTTTCGCGGGTAGGAACTTTCCTATTAGCTGACTGATAATCTGCTTCACAGACACTGATCAGTTGGTTAAAGAGAAGACGACTGTAGTAGATAACCTTCATATTAAAATTAGATGATCACGTTTACTCAAACGGTACATGCTTAATAACATATACATCTAGACCTCGACACAATAAATCGGAAATATAATTTGTCTAAAAAAAATAAGGCAATTAAAGTAAAAATCAGGATACCAACCTCGATTCATTTACAATATTTTGGGAATAATGTATGACACAGTGACAGTCTATAGATCAGCTGAAAATTTAAGGTTACAGCAATAGCGAAAACGCATAACTCAATTGTTTATAATTACACATAGAAAACTGTAAGTTCTTATGTCTTGAAGAATAGTTTCCCTAGTTTGCTCTATCGTTTATTTTTATTATAACATATATTTTTAGTTGTGTGGATATATAGTTTCACCATAGGTTGATTATTTCACTCATACTATCTAAATTTGTGAAATAACAAATGACCTTTGGCTTTTAAAAAGATTTGCTAAAACTCATTGATGATCTTCAATCTGCCTTGTAGTTTTATTATTTACATTAAGAGCATCACTTAAATAAAGTGATGATTGGTAGGAATAGTATTGAACAATAATCAAAGAGTGAATAGCTTATAAGAACAGTAGTAAAAAACCAATGATTTACATTTAAGTCATTGTATATCCGCTGTCTAAAGAAGTCTTATATTCTAAAAGATGTTAGGTTGTTAGGTAGTTTCAAAATGCTCCCCGGAAAACTCAGTAGGGTCCCAGAAAACTCTTGGAAATATTTTATTCAGTCATGATTGAATTGACGTTTCTTCGAAACATCTAGTAGGGTGACATCACGTGTTACGTTTTTAATTGGATAATTACCTTCTTACTCTTATATTTAGTATACTTGTGGAACTTTATGGACGATTAAGGTCATGTTAATCAGTATAAATACTCATGACTCTTCACCGAGGAAAGCTTTCTTTTGCCTTTCGCTCCTGTGTTTAATTTGCCGTTTAGATTTTGTCTGGGGTTATTAGAAGCTGCTAGGAAATACGATCAGTCACTCAATTAATAGATTTACCTCTTACTTGGTTGGTTTCTCGGTGGTGAGTTATATAAATAGTCCATTGGTAGTCACCCAAAATGCAAGAAATGATATTTTTGTGAAATCGCTCTCTAATTGTTATGGCATATTTCCGATTCCAGGGTGATCAGACAGAAACTGTACAGTAGTTTCTATTATTCAGACTTCAAACCTCGTGATCATGTACATAAATTATGACACACCGTCATTAATAAACCACGGTATGTACTAAACTAGAACACTGTACAAGTACTGTGTCATGAGTAATTCACAGTAATTTATGGACGGACAAAGATGTAAATATAAGTGGTGAGTCAAATTAAAGCTTATTATTGAGTGAATCTAAGCATACCGTTACCCATTTTAGTAAGTGCATGTATATTTCATCATGTATACCGAATTCTCAGTGTATTCTCCTGGACTTCAGATTTTTAATTACCCCCCCCCTAAAAAGTAATCTTGAGTTCGAACTTCAGTTAAATAACCAGACAGTTATTTTTATCCCTACGTTGTAAGTTTACAACAATGTATATATGTAATGTCATTCTATTTTTATATTATTTTGTTTTATACTTCTCAAGTATCATCTTATTTGTTTCCTAGGAAATAGGTGAACCTGTTTAAAGGATACAAGTGATATTTCAAATTCAAATTCTGTAAATCTTCCATCTGTAAAATAATGACGCGTTTTTAGATTCCCACATGTTTAGTCAAATTATCACTGCAAACTGTAAATATCATGTACATAGATGATCATCGATTCGTTAAATTTTACATACGTATATTTAAGATGATGCAATCTTTTTCTAATGAATAACCGCAAATAAAACTTGGACACGGACAAGGATAATCATCCCTTCCTAATATTCAGTTAAAGTACAATGTCTAGCATTCTTCTCATCTAGTAGGTGTGACACACATTAAAGCATTATTTCCTACCGAGAATTTCATTTCAAAAATCTGAAAATACGTATGTCTTATATTAATACGCTGCTGTAGCACATCCCAACCTACCAGATGAGGAAAGTAAGTAAAGTGATACTTAGAGCTTAAAGTAGAATCCGCATTAAAGATTATGGCATTAAGTATAGCTTTCACTCGCCAAATAAAAGGAAAAAGGCTAGATATTGGACACAGACGGGACGTTGAAAGGGAGATACTCTACGAATTTGTGCATGTTTGTCTTATTCATCGAATGCCCGAACTTGTTTTTGAGTCGTTACATTTACATTTGAACATGTAGTCAAGTAAATAGTTTTATATGCATTCCATACTTACTGCTTTTATTGCTACTAGCTTTTCACTGAACATAAGTAAACTTAAAACTTCTATAGAATATTCGAAAACAAAGACTTCTTCATTGGACTTTAATAACCTCATTACTAGAGTACATTTATGAGTCGAGGGTGCTACGATTAAGCTATATGTCAGATGGTGTGGAAGCGGATATACTTATATTCGTTGAATAGTTTCAAGATTCAGTATCTGTAAACCCTTGAGGTCGCTTTATAGAGGCCTATGTTCTCACAGTAGGCTGTGAATAGTCGGCCAGTACGGGTGTGTTAGATTGTTTGTATTGATTTATTTGAACACAAATATTGGCACAAGAGGGCACCACACAAAACAATGAGAAGATGAAAAAAGGAAGATAAGAAGTGTAAAGGAAAACATGTCATACACTGACCACCTCTCCGCTTTTTCCAACCAGTCCCAGCGTTGGCAAATGATGCACGACGTGGGATTCTCTGAGACGACATTCGTAGAACATGTCCAAGCCACCGACGTCGGTGTTTCAAGATGGTGACACCAATTTTATTATCGCCTCTGTGCCCGGACATCACGAAGGCGCCAAAGGTGGCCCAGATTGGCATAAGTCGCTCTGGCTTTCACTATACGTGCATTGATCTCATCACTCACGCCACCACCAGCACTTGTGTAGCTATCTAGATACATGAACTTCCCGACTACTTCAATCTGCTCACCATCCAGAGTGAGTACAGGATTAGAATCCTGCCAGTCTTGTAGAAGAACTTTGCACTTCGAAGGTGCGAAGCACATACCACACCTACGGACATTGATTGCCAACTGATTAAGTGCGGATTGCATGGCTTGGGCATTCTCGCACAGTAAGACAATATCATCCACATACTCAAGGTCGAGAAGTCTTTCTCCAGGCAACAGGTCGACACCACCATTACTTACATCCATCAGAGCTGTTTCCAGAATGTACTTGATGGCAAAGTTGAAGAGGAATGGTGAGATTGTGCAACCCTGCCTAACTCCACTGCTTGAATGGAATAGTGGAGAAAGGTGGTTGTATGCCCTCACTCTGCCTGAGGTGTTTGTGTATAGGGCTTCTAGGATGTTGATAAACTTCTCAGACACACGCTTCTTCAATAGACAATCCCAGAGAACAGTTCTGTCCAACGAATCGAAGGCAGCCCTGATATCAAGAAACACTACGATTGTTGACCTTTGATAAGTATGATGGTGTTCTAACATTTGGTGGGGTGTGAAGATATAATCAATACATCCTCGACCAGAACGAAACCCAGCCTACTCCTCGCGAGTCAATCCTTCTCGGGTTCTGAACAACCTACGAAGTATGACGGAAGCCAATAGCTTGGACGCAATCGGAAGTAGACTTGTTCCCCGATAGTTGTTACAGGAACGACGTGAAACCTTTTTAAAGATAAGGACAACTATCGACTCATTCCATGACGTTGGTAGACTCTCTAGTTCCCAGACCTTTGTAAACAACGTCATCAGTCCCTTAGTCAGAAAGTCACCACCATCTTTAAAAAGAGCCGGAGGTAAGTCGTCTGGGCCCGGTGATTTATGGCGTTTCAAGAGTTGGAGTTCCTTGCGGACTTCCGCCTCATTTGGTAGATCATTCGTCACCGGCCATGGAGGGCAGGACAGTCTGACCGATGTTGCCGGAGAAGCAGGCCAGTTGAACTTCCCTTCAAAGAATTCTGCCCATCGTCCAAGACGTCGATGGATGTTAGTGATTGGCGTTCCGTCATCCTCGCAGATTGTTTCGCTCACACCAGACTTCTTGCTGCCAGTGGCTCGGATGAGTTGGAAGAGCTTCCGGTAATCACCAGATGCAGCTGCTGCTTCCAGCTCATTAGCACGCTCCGACCACCAGGCTTCTCGGTCCTTATGCAAGGTTTGCCCAAGCTCACGGTCACTCGGAGTAGACCGACGGGCTTCAATCAGTTGTAAGGAACCAGAAGAATCCCAGTCCTTGTAAGCGGGACGTTTTGCGAACCTACAACAGACTGTACCCGCCATTTTCATGGCGTCATGCAAATGCGACCAATGCTCATCTATACTTTTCGGTGGAATGGTAGCTAGCCTAGAAACTAGCTCGGTTCAATACTTACTAGCAACAGAAGTTGCAGCCAGCTTGCTAACATCAGTCCCTTGGTGTCGGTAACTTCGTTATCCACTGAAAAGTAAAGTGAGATTGGTGCAGACCAGGGTATGATCAGAGTCCAGATAGGTACTCCAAAAGAAGCGGCAGTCTTGTACACAACCACGCCAGCGGTAGCTGATCGCGATGTGATCGATCGGAGTCCAGGTTTGAGATGCAGGAGGGGGACGCCAGGTGGCTCATCGGCAATGACTGTGCCGAAAGTTAGTGCTAGCCACAAACAGGTTGTGGTCTGTGCACAGTTGCAGTAGACGGTCGCCGTTATCTGTCCCGCGACCAACAAGTCCCCATCGGCCACCTAAACGACTCTCTTCTGTGCCTAGACGCCCGACCTGAGCATTCAAGTCTCCAGCTAGTACTACAATATCTGTCGAACGCACTTTCTGGAGAAGAACAGTAAACTGGTGGTAGAATTCATCCGGGCTGCAATCTGTCGGGTCATAGGCGGAGATGACGAAAAGGCATCGTTTCTCACGCCGATTTCTTCTCACTTTGATGGAACTTTCTAATCTAACAGCACATAACCGACTGTTAATGGGGATCCAATCGATTAGTGCTGCCTCGGCTCTAGCGCTTAATGCGAAACCAACGCCAGCAAGACCAGACGAAGATGCCACAGTGTGGAGATGCAGTCCCATGGTAGCCGGTGACCAACGATTGGTTCATACGCCATTTGTTCCTTCAGGATACCATTGGTTTGGGATCCGGGTAAAGCGCCAGACATTCGGTTTTTGTCGACAACACCCCCGCCACGATAAGACAGTGAGTAGGACTTGGTGGAGGCTGTATACGCGTTGCTAAGTCTGGGCATTTAGGGAGGAGGACGAACCCACCCCACTCCCGGCCATACCAGGGCTCTCGGGGCATGTCGGATCCTTGTCTACATAACCATCGACTTCAGGAAGAAAGGTCTATGCACCCGGAGGAGTTACATTCAGTTTCTCTGTTCATTTTAATCCATAATCTGGTCACCCCATATCATGGCGTTTTATTATCGATCCATTTATGTATCTCTACCTTGTCCTATTCTTAGTTGCAGACTCATCTTCATTCACATGTTCTTATTATCATCATAATTACCTTTATAACATTCGTGTGACGTTTTATATTCACGTGATTTCGTTATGTTGACCACCAAAACATAACATCTCTCATATGGTTGACTGTCCATATAATTCACCTGTTCCCAGCTTGATAAAAATTTCCTACCACTTAGGCAACTTTTCTAGCTTACGACTGGCTTGTTTTGATGTATTTTCTCTGTAATCAATGTTAAAGATTTTCATCCTACAATACTTAATTCAACCACAAGCAAATACGTTTATCATGAACTTATATCTGTCGAGCCTGATGATCAACTTATTGGAAATGATCGTTCCCCAAATACTCACTTACACTGCAGGACTATAACTATGCTGTCACGTTAATTGCGATCGTTTTATATGCTAAGGTTGAACTGATAAGTAAATATATGCTTACTGGCGGTAGATGATCCTCGATTCAGTCTAGTTCTCTTAATTTTGGAAATAAGCGTATAAATGCTTTTAATTTCGCAAGTGTCGTTGTGAGGGACTGATGTCCTACAGAGTAAACATTACTGTATCGTGAGAGCTCAAGACAAGATTTCATTTTTTAGCGAGCAGTGCTTACATATCGTTAATTTGAGACTCTAGATTCAGAAGTTTGTCCATAGAGTGTTTGAGTAGTTTGGTATGTCATTCTGATGTTCGTTTAACAACGATATAGCGTTGTTACTAATGGTAGTAAGCTTCACCTATCTATTTAATTTAGAACTCGATCATTCGAGAAAATTCACTTCTTGGGTCTTTAATTGATTATCTTAGAGAAGATACTCTGTTAGCTCTCCGCAATAGGGTATATATACATACATGTGACATGTTCCTCCTAAGTTAAACAGACATTTACACTAGGTGACGTTGAGGTTCTCTTGTTTTAGTTGTTTTTGGGTAATAAAAACTTTATTAGTAGATTCTTAATCCGGTAACTATCCGCAAACCCCAAGTTGACAAGGATCAGGAGCTGACTACATACATAGTTTGCTTTCAATCAGAATGAATAAAACCAACTAGTAGGGTAGAACAGCAGTCATTCGCCACTGGAAGCAATCGGGATATTGAAATAACAGTGATGTACTGTCATAAGTATTATCAGCGAACCTCACCATAAACAACCTCATGCACTCGTTTCAAACCTCATTGTCTCACAACTCTGATTCATACAGTTCCCCTATCACGATCATTTGGCAATGGGGACTTCCTTTTTTCTGAGGTGGAATGCGTTTCATACTCAGTAGTTGTTGCTAATTCAAATACTGTCGAACGAAGTCAGTTTGAATATTTTCAAAACAAATGTATTGAAGCAA